CCCCAAAACCCCAAAACCCCAAAACCCCAAAACCCCGTTACCCCTCCGAACTGTAATAAATATATTTAAAAACATGAAAAAGCCCAGCCAGAGGCTTAAAAGACTAAATAGGACAGCTAGATTACAACTGAAGCATCATTTGATAGGTAATACGCCTAATATACAAGTGTATAATGACTCTATGCTAGCACAGAACTTCTGAGCGTAAGTAGAGAAAGAGTCTTACCAAGGGCTCTAGCTGGGGCATGAGTTTATGAGCAAGTTTTGAAGTTACAAATTTGGGATAAGGGTTAAATATAGTTAGCTCAACAGAGGAGAAAGAATAATACAATCAGAACTCTAGTCCCAAGGACAAAGAAACCTGCTTATACGCCTGTATGTATCACTAATAATTTCTAGAAAATCAGCTTTGATAGAACTTATAACCATCAATCTTTTCGTTCTAATTCAATAAAAAGAAGAAAGAGGAGAACCCCTTTTAGTGCTTGCGAAAAGTCACGAAACTATCATGAGATTCACAAGCCGGATGATGTCCAGATATTGATGCATAATCTTGAATATGAACTTAGAGAATCCAAATTTCGTCTCAGAAGTACTTTTAATCAAGACAAAGATCACTGGATAATTCATAACAACGAGCCAGAGAAAGTGGATATCCTCGAAGATATAAATAGTGTGTAAATTTTATATATTTGATGCAGTAGATATAAAATTGAAGCAAAGGACCAAATTGCTCCACTTAAGGTCAGCATTGTTTATAATAAGGACGACACTTTGTGCTTCACAAGAGAGAAGACACCTAAATAAGAGGTACATAAAAGTTCAGGTAATTATTTACAGACAATTTAGGTTCACCTCACTGATGAGCTTAAGCCATCTCGAAGGCCCAATATGATATTCAAGAATAAAATGAATTTTACAATAGTTCCTCTTTTAGGTAATTTTTGTTGATATTTTTTAGAGAGAGCATATAAATTTGAGACAGACATTTTCTTGATATTTTCTTCAGTCTTTGGTTGTTCGGTGACTGTTAAAGCAAAGTTTCCAGATCAAAATAATCAACTATCTACTCGTTTCAAGTTCCAATCAGCATTTGATAGAAAGATGAACAAAGAGGAGTTCACCCAGCTTCTCTATAGCAATCATTCAAACAAATATGAACGTCTACTAAAAGAAATAGACACTGGGGCTGAGGTGGCACAAATATTTAAATAAAATAAAGTACAAGCAAATGCTAAAAAGTGGAATTATCCAAAAAGATGGTCTTTCATTTCTAGAAAAGAACAAAAGAGCTTGCATAATGTATTCCTGGTTGCATAAGTTTTAGAACTCCAGAGGAAAGAAGAGCACGCTTGAAAATACACAAAAGAGCTCACTCTTGAGTGCAAAAATAAGAACGAAATTGAGAACCAAAATCATCAGCAGAAACTGTTCTTAGTAAATAAATGGAAATTTATTCGAATAAAGCGGAAACAGCTTATGAAGATAAAGCTAGAGTTGAATGTCAAGAAAAGAGTTGCTTCTCATTTTCTGAAAATATATTTAATGAGAACATTTGTGAATCATATTTATCAAGAGTATGATAGCACCAGATTCAAAATACACTACAAAGGGCTTATCATGAAATCAGCGGTCAAAATTTACATGGTCTGTATGAGGAGGTTGAGGAGAATCAAGCCGAAGCTTGGAGAAAGGACAACCCTTCAGATCCAGGATTGCATTAGATTTGCTAATAACATATCTAAAGATTCTATCTATGAGCGAGCTCAAAAGGTATGGTTTGTTTTAATGTCTTAGATAATACAATCTCATCTCACTATGACAAGTTTATCTTACAATTTTACTAAGAAATCTATAAAATTTGTAAGGTCAGCCAAAATTATTCAGCGAGCATACATATCAAGGTATAAGATTTATGTAGAAAGGATCCAAGAAATCACTAATGATTGGGAAGATCTAATCGGTATGATACAAAATGACACTTTAGGGAATTTAATTGAAGCCAAGACAAAACAGCTTTCTAATGCAGAGACTTCTTTTCTTGTCAAGCAACGAAAAAATGCTAAAAAGATAAAGAGGTAAACTATTTCTAAACATTTTAGGAATAAAGAAATGCTTGAATCAATATCGACAGAGTTTAGAGATTTAGTATGGCTTCAGTGTAACTCATAGGTTATTAAGAAGTATTATGAGCTGACTCTACTCAGTCACAAGCTCAAATGAAGAGAGATAGAAAATAAGTATGAATTCATTGTCATCCTATAGCCTCTCTCAAAATTACGAGGAATGTATCTTAAAATAATGACAACGAGAGTCTGATAAAAGAAATCATGGAGAGAAAAAGAAAGTTATTTGGCAAACCTGAAATGACTTCTCTTGAAATAGATTTTAGAGAGTAATATTTCCTAAATATTTCTAGGGACTCTTCTCCCAATAAACTAAGAATCAAGCCAACAGCATCTTTTGGAGCTATAACTGAGAGATTCTCGACTTATGGGAGTATAATAACAAAGTCTGGAGGAGCAACAAAGCTGTTACCCAAAAATATAGAAGAGATTGATAAATTCTCAGAAGATAAATCAGCAAACATCTGATATCCTGATTTTGACTTCATTCCTTCAGAAAGGGAACTGATGTTTTTGATTGAGAAAGCTAAAGATATGAAAGAGATTGGAGATATTGACAAATACAAGGCAGAAAATAGAAGACACAACTTTGGAGCAAGAAACATGATGAGAGTTGAGCATCGATCCACAAGTTCAATAAGCCATTACTCATAAATTTCAGTAGAATTTTATATCTTTGGGGTTTTGGGGTTTTGGGGTTTTGGGGTTTTGGGG